AACGTCGGATACCAATTTTCAAGTTCTAAAATTGTTCCTTTGACATTTACAGTTTTTGGGGTAAATCTCAAAAACTACCCTAAAATCGGGTAATTTTTTTCCACCATATGAAAGAGTCTATAGAGATACACAATCGCTCCATACATGCCAAATACCTGCGGGATTGCCAAGTCGGTCAAAATCGAGGTTGAATTTCAAACGTTGTTTGCTCTCAGTGTTGCCAGTCGATCGTTCTATTTTTTCCAACGGGTATCTTGAAAAGTTAAAATTAAAATATTTGCATCGAAAACAGTTCAAAATTCGACAAAAAGTGGTTCCCCAAAAATCTCATTAAGTATCAAAAATTTTCGAGATTTTTTTTCACCTGGCAACACTTTAGTTACTTGCCTAAAAAATGTTTCCCCGGAAGTACTCTGACAAATGTCGCCAAGTGCGTCAAAATCGGCTCGACGTGGTGACGATACCCAATTTTTCGGATAAAATGGCCGCTGGTTTGGCCGCCATCTTGAATTTCGAAAATCCGGCACCGTACCGGTGTGGCCAACTCGATAACGCATCCGATGCAGTTTTTACCATTTTCCTAGTGGCAATACCGACTGCGCTAGAGTCGACAAAGTAAAAAACGGGCAAAATTTTTCAAATCGCCGCTCCTACCAGGGTTGCCAGGTGACGACGATAAAAATGGTCAAATGTCATTTCGGGGAGTGCCCTCCATCGAGGAAAAGCATTTTTGAAATTCCCAAACGGCTCCTTCTACTTTTCACCTTTTTGGGGTAAATCTCCGAAATTACCCTAAAATCGGGGAAAATTTTCACGTCATTCGAAAGAGCCAGCGGAGACTCACGACCAGTCCATACCAGGCGAAGAGCTACAATGTTGCCATGTGTGCTAAAAGTGCGTTTTAATTTTTCGAAAAAGTGAAAAAATCACAAAATGGCCGCTGCCGGCGCCGCCATATTGATTTTGCCGAATTTCATAAATTTCCCATAGTCACGACTATATCAGGCAAGGGACCTCATTCACAGATTTTCTCCGCTGGCCGCCCAGGTTCCCAAACAATTCGGGTTATGAGGGCATGTCGAAAAACACGTTTTCTACCGTGGAGCCCAGGGTTGTCAGCTCGCGGAAACGAAAACTACCAAAAGTCATAGGGCTCCCCCGGCGCCACACCGCATCGAAATTTCACTTTTCTCCCAAAATCTCATAAACTACCACGAAAATGGTAGAAATTAGTACTAATATGGAGAGATCCTACCGAGCCCCACGACCGCCCCATATAAAGAAAATCAGTACATTGCCGCCATCTTGGAGAAAATCTCACTGGAAAATGGCGATTTTTCATTGCCGAAACAAAATGGCCGCCCCCGCCGCCGCCATGTTGAAGCGCAAATGAAAACTCCCTCAACGTGAAAATTGACTATACTTCCGAGCTGAAGGAGCAAAAATCCTCCCTCCGGACCCACAAAAAAAGAAATGACAATCGCCCGAACAGAGGTCGAAAAATGTCAATTTTCGAGGTAAAATATCTCGGCCGCCATTTTGTTTTTTTTAACAAACCTTTTTTCATTGCCATTTTTTTTGCCCACTCTACGACCATTTTGAATATGGTAACCGTAGAGTGAATACTGTAGAAATGTTTGAACCGTTATGTATTTTTATTTTCTCTCTTTCCCGGTATTTGAATTTGTTTTTTTTTATTCCATATTAATTTATTTAGGAGGTACACACTGACTACCTTATTGTATTTCTTTTTCCTGTTTTGGGCCTGCTGGTAGAAATTTCAATTTGAAATAAGTAGTGCCCTTGTACTAATGTCTGTTACATTTGTTCATATGAAATTGTATGTGTGTACAAAATAAATAAATAAATAGATAATCCAACATTTTGTGGCGGCGGCCATCTTGTATATAAAATTTTGTCATAGTAAACAGTATTCTACTACTCAAGCCCTTTTATTTAATGTCCGTATTGAGGAAGTCGTAAAAAATATGTTGGTAATCCAACATTTTTGGTGGCGGCCATCTTGGATTTGAAATTTGTCATAGTGTTCAGTATTCTACTACTCAAGCCCTCTTATTTGATACCCATATTGATGGAATGGTGATAAAATATGTGATCCGACATTTTGTGGCGGCGGCCATCTTGTATCGATTTTCATCAAAGTGAAGAACACTCCCGACTAATACACCTTTTAAACAAAATCAAAATGGGTTCATCTGTTCGGGAACTATGATGCCACAAAAAGACACGAACACACCACACACACACAGAGAGACATGTCAAACTTATAACACCGCGTCGTTTTTGCGTCCGGGATTAAAAATATATTGAATTTAGAAAAAGTTGTTTCATATGCGGATCTCCGATAAATTTGATATCGGTCGAATTGCATCGAGCCATAAGTCTAAGTTAATCCTCATTACATAAGTCAATTTCTAGTGAAAGTCTCTTCAAAATCGGCCAAGCCGTTTCAGAGATTAGCCATAACTAACAGACAGGCAGATAAAATATATTATTTTTGTATATGTACCATGTATACACACAAATGTATTTAGTGAAAAGCTTGTAAAAGTTTGTAATATAATTGTTTTTCTATATTTAATAAGTGCTATTTCAAAATTTCGAGCTACTGTTTACTTTACGACTATATAAGAGATATCATTCTATTTCTTTTATTTCGTTTGTTAAGAACAGTAGCTCAATCCAGGACTTCAAAAAAGTGTCTTTGCGCATTTTATGAAAAACTTTCTCTGGTATTTTGGATTTAATTAAAAAGATGAGCAAAATTTCCAAAAAGTTGAGCCACTAATTTCTATACCAAGAGTTATTCTTCACTATTCAACAAGTCAAAATTGTTAATTTGTTTTTGTTTCCGAGAAAAATCATGCAGAAATCACAGTTGCGATGTAATATGGCTCTTAATGAAAAATTTAAGCTCTAATTAATGATAAAAATTCTAAAATTTATATCGTTAATGTCGCATTTTGTGCAATAGGCAATAAGCATATTTAATATTGACTGCCCGCAACAGTAAATTATTAATTTATATTAAATAAAGACAAATTAGTATTTTATTATTACTATATTAAGAATAGGCAAGATAAAGTATGAAAATCGACAAAATTGTAATAAGGGTGTTCTTCTAAAATTAGGAACCAAAAATAAAAACCATCATAAATATCAATTGAGTTAGTATTCAGAAAAATGAATTCACAAGAAATATACAAAAGGAAACCACTTAAATAGAAACTTATATCTAATGGCACGGCTAACGTTCATATTAATTCAGGAAATGTCCTTTGAATCATGCTTTGGACGGATTAGTATATACTAACAATAACTTTCAATGTAAAAAAAATAAGCCACTTCTTATTGACTTTAAGTACACGTTACAATGTTAAAACCATAACAATATATAAAAATATATTCCATTTGCTTATAAACACGAATTAATATTACGAATGTTATCTTTAATTTGAATTAAGATATAATATACCAAAACCTCAAGGCTTTCTGCTTAAATATTTATAGCATAAAATACAATGAAATGTAAAATTGGACGGAGTCGTTTATTCTCTTGTAATAATAATAATTAATCATTATTTAAACTTACAAGCTAACATTCAGCCTTCAATCATAATTAAATTTAATTATATAAAGTTGCAAGACTATTATCTTAAGATTAAAATTAACTGTATTAACGCTACACTTTAAATATACACCATATTTTTTATATAAATACACATACACTAATAACTGAATATCCCATTTTGATTATTATAGTATTTTGATTACAAGAAATTTCTTACGATTTCATCTAAAATAATTTCTTTTTATATTACGGTCGGCAAACAGAAAGAATTTCGTACGTTGAACTTTGTGCCCACTGATAAATATCGAAACATTTTAGGTTCATTTTAGTGTCAAAATTGTCTAGATGCATCTGTGCGAGCGAAATAGCAATATGTATGCGCACGAGTGAAAAAGGTATGTAATGAGGGTCATTGTACAAAATTCTTCCTGTTCGACGAACGGAATATTAATTATGTACTATTCTGTTTCGACATAAGTCAATATTTTTCCAAAGCTTAAGATTAATTTTAATTTTCAGCTTTGGAAATCCAAAGTTCTATTGCCGGCAACATTAGACTTGTTTATCAATTCCTCAATAAAAAGAAATTAGAAGTAGAACTACATAATATTCAAAATACATACAGCAACAAAATAGGTCACTACAAAAGTTCTTTCTGCATTCAATTTTGAATATTCCGAAAACATATTAAGGCTTAAAATTGATCGAAAACGTTAAGACTTTGTAACGTGATATTTACTATATATTGACAAAATAACATTCAATAATAAAATATTCAATATTATAGGTTATTTACTTATACAAACAAAAAAAATACTATTATTCTTAATCAATTATCGGATTAGCTCAACTTTTTATAATATACAACCTCACATGTATGTACATTATAATATAGATATGATTTAAAGATTTTAGATTTTAAAGTGCTAGAACTTGTATAAACAAAATCTAATTAGCTCGATTTTGTATCATATGTAAATGTCTGCAGCTAATAATTTATTAATATACACTTTATGTTGAAATTCTGGGATCGTGGGTATATCCATGCTAAACATAATACAGCCTCAGTATCAAAATAGCTCTTCCTCACTCTGATCACTTATCGTAAATACTATTTTGTTGTGAGCTTTGAACTGTGAGCAAAAATGTCTGCTGTTTCGAATAAAATTCATCAATAACTCAAAAACATTGATTCACTTACATTTTTTTAAAAGGCCCAATACCAACTTGTTTTTCTCAAGATATTTATTTACATTAATAATCTCTCGTCAGTTTTTGCAGTATCTACTGAACATCTAATCTATTTTAAGCCTTATTAACAGTTAAGTTCAAAATTGACTATAGAAATAAGTCTTTTGCGCGGGATTGTGTACATTTTAGTATGTAATTATTTTTAAATCAGTAGCAATTAATACAGCATGATGGCTCCGTTGACTTTTTCTTCTAGGGCCGGGGCTATAGTGTCAGCGTCGCGTCCCTCAGCTGCCGCTACCGCTATACAAATTATGTTTACTAGCGCCGATATTGACGCCGCCACTACTAACCTATAAACAAACAATAATTATATGATTACGTGACCAGAAGAAGACTTGGGACTTGCAGGCTTGACTGCCCTAGGCCATGTAGCACAAGCCATCCCCTTTTTCTATGAATTAACTTTTTGGGCAGCATTTGTTAAAAATTTATTGGTGTGTATATCATGATGGGGAGCTCGATGGCGCAGTGGTTAGTGCGCTCGGTCTCCGTTACGATTTTAAAAAAACTTTCGCAAGGTCCGGTCATAAGAACTATTTCTAAATAAAAGTAATTTCTAGTATTGTAATTAAAGGCTACTGCTTTATCTCCGTGGCTGCCAGCTGTGTAATGGCATGCCTTGGGATCTTGGGATCTTGAGGCCCTAATCCTCAGGGAAATGGTATCAATTAAGAGGACCGTGTGAGAGTTTCTGTTGGAGAGTTGGTTGCAGAGGATCGAAGCCCTAGAATTTGAGGTTAGAACCATAAATGCAATCCCGCCTGTATTCTACTGTACTACTCTACTCGTCTGGCTAGAGAGGATTCATGGGTCTCTAACCTACATGCTCGTGCAGATTTTGTCCGGACATGGGTGTTTCGGTCAATATTTGCACCTGATTCGGAGGGAAGAGTCCCCATCCTGCCATCACTGAGGCGCTGGCTATGGACACTGCGCAGCACACTCTTGAAGAGTGCAGCGCTTGGTCAGAGCAGCGCCGAGTCATGGGAGTGATAATATTAAGTCAGAATCTCTTCCTACCCAGTGTGGTCAAAACCATGCTGGATGGAGACAGAGCAGTCGCCTCCTCCTTTTGCGAGGACATTATTTCGCAAAAGGAAAGGAGAGGTGAGAGACGCAGACGCTATGAGCACTACCGCCCCCTCTTCTGATTAGCCAGTATTACTTCCCAGGGCCACTATGCGTTGATGGACAGGCAGCGGACTCAGTGGAGGGACCTTAATAAAGTCGCAAATTAGGATTAGCTGGATTTTTCCAACCCCCACCCCCAAAAATTAAGGGTTTTTTTTATAAAAAGGCCAGTCATGGGATGGCTGACCAAAAATTTACGATCTCGAATTGCATCTGCAGTTGTTAACACCCACCACACCGCACTGGGCCCGCGTATTGGGTCATGACCCATTCTTCCTATTCGATTTCATCCATAAGGAAGGCCTGAACCACAGCAGCAAGGACATTGAATTTGGACAGACCAACATTGGCTGGTGATGATATCATGATCATCGTTACTGTCAATAGATGTGCATACCAAGTTCACATTATATGTAACACAATAAACATCTAAGTAATAACTAATAAAAGCTGTTTTATTCCCATTCTTATCGAAGGTCAGTATACCTGTATTCATTTAAGACATTTGATGAACAAGTGAAGATTCAATGACCACCTCGGTATTTCATCAATCAGTTTTCGAGACACAATATTTTATTTTCTCTGGGTAATTTCTTGTTATCATTAGTATATTTGTAACCATTGCTGGCCGCCCTAGGCCCAGGCCTGTTATGGCCACCTTTCAGATCGGCAAGCGTATTCACTAACTCAACTGACAACCTAAAGTCGTAATCACCTTAAAAAGTGAAAACAAATGGTTTGCAATTTTGAAATGTCAAAAATGGGCGATTTACTCTAAACTCAATTTTGACACTTGATATTGTATCGATAAACTGTTATTCGTATTCCGTAAGCATTAGTGACTTAATATGACGATCTCAAAAAGTTGGCCGGCAGTGGCTGAGATGAAGATAGCTCGGGATAGTGTTTTGTGGCGCACTGTGGGGGGCTACGTCCATCAGTGTATTGCAACAGGCTGATATGATAATGATGAGGCCTATAATCTTACCAGAAAGAGAGACCAAGGTCGGCCATGCCATCAGACGTCCAGGTGCTCGCGAGGTCCTCATCAGACAACACGTTGTACTGCAGCCGCAAAAAATACTCCGTCAGCCATACTGATATCGCACCCAATGTGAATAAAACTGAAAAAGAGAACGATAAAGGTATTTATTCACTACACACTTTATCAACATAAATTACAAATAAAAGTTGACCTATGATAAAAATACCTATGGCCGACAAGAGACTTGTTAAGTCCTTCTTACATGACGCTATTGAAAACTACACTCGCACACGACTTTGTTCAATTTGCAAGGTTTACAATAGTTGTCTCTGCTCGAAAAATCACTTGGTTCAAACGGGGAAATCAGAAACTAGTAAGTCAAATATGAAAATTGTGTTTACCTAATGAAAATACCTATATAAATTTCAGGAAAGGCATTTGAATTAAGGTATTTGAATGTATTACTTATTTACTTGTTACTGATGCGCAAGTCCAACTAGCGCTTTATTCTGGTGTTTTGTATTCGCTTGCCTTCGATCGAAATATAAGTTGTCCATTATAGATTCAATAAAAGCATAGTTATTACCTGCCAAGGAATTCGCGATTAATAAAGGTTTCGGGGAACATCTATGTCTCGCGGCGGCGCCCAGAACGGCGAGAACGCAAGCGCCACCCGCTGACACTAGAGCCGCGCCCAACTGGCCAGCAGTGCCGCACCACGCCCAACGACGTGCCGGGTGCGTGCCCGCTTTCACTGAAACCGAACCAATTTTAAACTATAATAATCTGTAGTAGCACGGTGGCGTAGTGGACCACGGCCCACGATCATTGTTCCTAAGCAACTTTCGGAAGGGTCGGTCGCGGGGTGGATGACCAAAACATAATTATCGCGAGTTACTCCGTGCTTCGGAAGGTACGTTAAGCCGTAAGTCTCGGCTGCATTTGTAGTTGTTAATACCCTCCAATCCGCATTGGGGCCAGCGTAGAGGGTTATGGCCGATCCTCCTTGTATAAGGAAGAACTAAGCCTACAGTGGAGACAAAAAAAGGCAGTTTATGATGATGAATTTGTACACTGATGAAAGGCTTGCTTTTTTATTTCCTTATATCTTTTACCTTTGCAATGTACAAAAGTAATAAACCACTGGACATATTTTAAAAATTCCTTCACCAAAAAAGTTACATTAGTTATCAGAGCAACAATATATGTACTACATTTTGAACTAAATAATGTTAAATATTCAACCTACATCAATACTTAACATTCCTATTATTTTCAGTTTTATCGTGTCAGTTTCCGAAAATCTTTATGTTTCTAGTTTTTATATATCTTAGCTAATATCGACTCGATTTTTAACAATGTATGTGATGTTATCTAATACATCATATTTTATTTTTAATAATCTCAGGACTAATCTGTAATCTATTAAAAAATATTAATTATTTAAATAAAACCAAATGATAGTTAGTTAATACTTACCACTAAAATTATGACTACGCCAGCCGTATCTGGGGTTTAATTGCTTATAACCTTCAAATAACCCAAAACTAATTCGACCGTCGGAATCCCGGATGGATGTTCGATGCGCTCGCGCATCTATCCAATGTGTTGTCCCCAGAGATGCAACGATCAATGCTATACAGAGACACGCACCAAAAAAGGTCGCAAATATCATTGAACGCTTAAATAAATTTAGCTTCATTTTGAAAATTGAACGTACACAGAATCTAACCACTTTCACCCGCGATCAAGTTCATCAATTATCCAATAGATGTCGTTACGTCACATTGTTGGCACACGTTTCGCATTAATTGTGCCTTTTTATCGGATTTTCTAGTTATTCAGTTGGTGGGAGTGTATTCAAGTCCATTGTGAACGTTCTTGAAGCCTGCCGAACATAACAATTGCTCTTCTCTTTTGTCCCGCCTTCTCACGGAGTTCTCAAAAGAAAATCTGAAACAAAAAGAAAATCTATTATGTAAAACTCAAATTTAAAGTTCGTATAATCTAATTGACTGCTTGTTAAAAGTAAATTTTCAACAGTCACAGTTATGCAAATCGTTACACCGCGTAACAATACTAAAGTGCCATTCATAAAAAAAAGTAAGTAGGTAGGTATTCAACTTGAAATGTTTTATGCGACGACGTTAGTATGCGACAGATTTTCCATCAAGTGTGCAATGTCATATTATCATGTAACTTATCATTTCTCTGATGTTCCGTTTAATACAACATTTAAATTGTTGTCATTTTGAACAACTACTAAAATAAATAAAAGTATATATAAAGAGCAAAGCATTTTACTTATTTTAGACGCCATGTTTCATTGTAACTATAGAATATCTAGATAGAATTAATGTAACTTTTATTTTTTCAGATGGTCCTGGTTCAATTCCTGAATTGACACCTATTTTGTTATTCAAGTATGAATGCAGATCTTAGTATATTTACTGGTCGTTCTTAATAATATGACATTCTGTAAAGGATATGATAATCAAACTGAGAATAGAATAGTACATATTGGATTTATGGTAATCTTAAAATGTATTTACAAGTCATAAGATTCCGAGTTATATAATAATTTTCAATAGCATTATTGATTTTAAACATAAAATAAAACTTATCATGCAAATTATAAAGATATTAACTCTGCAATCTCTTCACGGTAAAGTAATTTAGATGAAGTTACCGTGTCATCCGTTCATAAATAATTTAACAACGAAAGTGATACAATTTTCTTCAGTTAAAACTACTTTTTATAAAGACATTATTTATTTAAAGATTCACTGATAGATAAAAACCGAATTCTTTATAAACCGTAGTATATATCATAAAGAGTATCTAAACGACATATTGTCCATATTATAACTACTAGGAATACAGGCTTAACAAGTGTTAAAATTTTTTGAAAGTATAAAATATTATTTATATATTTAACTATGATAATAGATTCTGGTGCTTAGATATATATATAAGAATACTAAACCAATGAGAAGTTAATAAATTTGAAGGAATAATGCCACTGCATACTTAGATCAACATACAACTTTGATAGCGTACTTAGATCAACATACAACCTAGATAATATTAAACTGCTGTATTTATAGCTTAGAGATAATAATTTTTCGGTTGTCATAAATTTATTAATTTACTCTTTGATAGTACTAATCAGATTGGCAAAGTATTCTTGAACTAGACACGAGGATACGGACTAATAAATAATGGAGGTACGAGTTTATTAGAAGATGGATTGTTCTAAAGTAGCTTTTGTAATGTATATATCAAAGGATACGGAACCGTATTCTTATAACTATAAAGTACACTTCAAGATGATGAACAAACTATGACAAACGTTTGCCGGTGCGTGTATGCGAGAGAACCTGTAGTATTGACCTAATATCACACTGACTCGCTTTATGTGGAAAAAGTTATTTTGAGTCTTAATGCAATAAGTTAGGGTGCATTGTTAACTTACAATAAAAGAATTACGTGACTGATCAGCGGTTTACTAAAACTTTTTTGTACTGCAAGATGTAAAAAATGGTTATGGATGGATTCACTTGGAAGCTACTTTAAACAGAAATAAATACAAGTAAATAGGAATATTATCTGGAAAGATCAAAGCATCTATTATAAGTGAATGTGATATTTTAATGCCTAATTTTACATTATTTTTTATAAAATGTTAATACTTTCCCCCCCTTGACATTTATCTACGCAAAATGTCAAACTACGAACTTACTTTTTGAATATTTAACACCCAGTTGCACAAACGTCCATTAAAATTGTCATCAGTTTAAAGATATCGTTTATCTTACTCATTTGGTTCACTCTAAAGGAGAATGGACAAAAGTCGGCTAAAATTACATAAATTGCACACTACGCATTTATTTATCAAAAATCTTCTCTTTAATTATAATTTATTTTATATAAATACTATTATATAATTATGCGGCGTTTAAAATTAACCGTATTAAAACAATTGCTCAACTGACCAATTTAGACTCATGATATGGCCTTGAATAAATGTCAACCATACAACAATAGACTAGATTAGGATGATCGCCTTATCGATTATAGAAAAATAAGGGATTAATCTCGTACCGAAAAAATATAAGATAAGACTTCCTTCGGTTTGCTTTTGAGCATTATCAAAAGTATGTACGCTATTTCATAGTAAATTAAGAGACAAATTAATTGAATTTTAATATGACGCGTACAAACAACCAACGATTGGCCAAGTTAACATTCATCACTACTCTCAAAGAACAGGCTTTGTTTATTCGTGTAGGCATAAGGATAAGTTTTCACGGAGGAAGAAACATGCATGTTTAAGCGGTGTTATACATAAATATAACAAAATGTTTGGAGTTATACATAAATATAACAAGATTCCATTAAAAAATACCTAATTAAGATTTCTAGTGACATTCGTTATATTTTCTTTAGTGGTGAGTATATACCTACCCACTGCAATATAACTACGACTACCTACTAAGTTTCAATTAATTATCGACTTGACGTGCGAACTTCCTACCACTACTTTTACAATATGAAGTATTTTAACTTTGATAATGTTAATTAGGTACTATATTAGTCAAATACTAGTTTTTAATCGGCCCAGTTGTTTTAGAGTTTATCTTTTACAATAAAAAATTCAATCTTTCCTTTTTATAATATAGGTATAGATATATACTTTTTCGCAATTAAATATTTATATTCGTTAGTCATCGATTGATTAAAATACATTATTCATTTTATTGCTCTTATATACCTACGTAGATATTAATAACGACATAACCTCAAAATCTCTGTGAAATATTCAGATATTCTCAAACTCCGGCATTATTTTAAAATGGTTTTTTTCCTACTCATTCTAGAAATAATTCTCTATCGTTTACCATTGGTTCTAACAATGTGCACGGTTACCCAAAAATAGCCGAACTCTCATAGTAAATTGCCCATTCTCCTTTTCATTAGACCCTAAAGATGTCATTAAACCTTTACAGTGCTATTAATAAAAAGGGTTTAGCATCAGAGTAAATTTACGCTATAATTGTAATTTTAGTATTAGTCCAAATTCATATTATACAGAGAATAATCAAACCTACTTCTACCTTCTATGAGTAAATATTACTCCCGTAAAACCTCGTACTAGGTAAACCTTTACTAAGTTTTTGTTTAATAATATGAATTTTGACTAATACTAAGTGCAGTCTCAACATAAATTTACTCTAACGCTATACCTTGTTTATTAATAATACTGTTAAGGTAAAATCAATCAAAGTTCTAAAGATAATGGACGTTTGTACAACTTTTTATGAAACTGCGTGTAAGTATTTTTATATGATAGAGCTAGGTAAACATTGACCTTTATTTGCCTTGTGCAAAACCGTTACGGAAGGGTGATGATATCAGTGACATTACTACCTTGTTATTCCCCTATCCTTGTTATTCTATAACCATAATTATAAACTGATGCCCAAAACCGACACTGGCTTATTGTTTACCTTTATCTCAGTAAATTACCTAAATATCAAACGCAGTCTATTAATAACACAAAACAAATAAAGTCTATGAATCGCCATATTTTCTCCAAAGAAAAGCAAGTCACGTTTTTAGAATCAATGTTATTAGTAGATAAATGGTAGTCGCGGCAATGTCCGGTTCCTTAGAAATTAGTAAAGGTTAACTTGGCTTTTTATAATATAAGAATCGACCTTGAAATATAATGAACTACTCATAGTTTCATTACTATTTGCGACGAAATAATATTGATATAGGTAAGTACTAATAAGTTATTATAAAAGTGTGTGAATAGTGTGTAAACAACAGTGAGTATTCTATTAACATCTAACATTAGAAAATTAAAAATTCCTGTTACATTTTATAATTTATTCTTTAATTCCTGGTTAAATTAAAACCCACAGGTTAAAATCATAAACAATGATTTTTTCCTTAATTTAGATTTGCTTAGTTGTGGTACGAGTGTAATTCGAATCACGAATATTAGATACACACTTATCTTAGGATCTAAACAAATTGCCTATAAATGAATTCACATAATATATTAGCTTTCAAAATATCCTAATTATTATAGTACTAGCTTTTATAGTACTAGCGTCTTCGACCGAGTAGTTAACACGATAACTCGACAATAAAATTTATCGCTAGGGGAACCGTTTAGCGGGATAAAAAGTAGGCTATTTATTAATTCAGGCTTAGAATTGCCCGTACACCTAATTTCATCAAAATCCGTTCAGTAGTTTTTGTGTGAAAGAGTAACAAACATAGTTACATCCTCACAAACTATCGCATGTATAATATTAGTAGAATGTAAAGTACTACACTATATATTGAAGAATATTTTCTGTATTTTTTTCTTTGTATATGAATACATATGTTTAATTATTTTCTAGATCATTAGTTTTACTATTCTGTAAAAATACAGCGTTGAAGACGGCTTCAAACTTCTTACGCAGTATTAGTGGTTAAATCATCATAAAACCTTTATTACCTTTAGAAGTAGTTTTTATTTAATTGAACTTGTAATGACGTATTTGTAACAGAATAACTGCAGAACCTAACCGACTGTGAAACTTGACGCAGGTCTCATAACACTAACATTCCTCTCCTTGCACGAACCACGTTATGTTTTTGTTTAATTCATGTTGATACTAGAGAAGATAATTTAGAAAAAGT